ATAAAGAAAGAAGGGAAGGAAGGGAGGAGACCAGCTAGCTAACTAGTCATATTTTTGGCTAAGAAACATACAAAACGGTAGTAAAATGAAAATTGGGTAAAACATACATCAGCAGCTAGAAAGGAAAGACTGCAGTCTCTATACACAATTTTTTTTTTTTTTACAGACACGCAATTTTAAATATAGCATCAGCCCCTGTCAAACTGCAAAGTACTGAGGAGGAAAAGGAAAAAAAACACTACATGGAAGCCAAAGAATTCTAATGGAAACTTACCAATGGCTAAAACTCAGTCACAGTTCTCCCCAGGTAGAAAAGAGTACATAATTTTAAGAATTGGGACTGGAAATTAGAACTAAAGCTTGTAGTTACTCGTTATTCACATGCATAAATTTCATTTGGAGTAATATATGGACTCCAGAAATACTGTTGGCAATATTAACTTCTGTGGATTTTTTATTTTCATTTTCCCATTCACTTACATTATAATTTTTGAGATGTTTTATCTTCACTTCTGATGATCTTCAAATGTCAATGGCTCTTAACACATTAACTGTAAACAAACACAAAGGAACTTAGGGGAATTCAGATATTTAAGGAACCCTAAAATAAAATATTCTAAATTACTCTGTAAATCCTGTGGGGGAGAAGGGGTGGAGGTGGGGAGAGGAAACTTTGGCATCAAGTTTACTTGCTTCACAATTTATCCAATGGTTAATGTAAAACTCTTCTTTTGAATGGCACTTATACTATCCTCTGATCATCAAACAAAGAAAACAAAATCAACCTATTTCCTGTGGGAAAAATAAAACTTTCAAAGCTAGAGAAATTTTTCTCCAAACATGGACACAACCCACTGGGGTACTGTGCACTCCACCCTTCTCAGCAGTGCGGCGGCCAGGGAACCTCACTTCCTTGTCTCTACCGCCCAATCAGCCTGCCCTGGGACTGCCCTCTTACTACCAAGAATTGGCCTGGACCCAGGGTGCCAGATAGTGAGGTTCTCTACAGCACAGAGAGTCTGGGTCAAACATCAAACCGTTTACCCTAATCTTCAGTTTTCTCATCTGTAAAGTGAAAACAATAATACTGTTTATTTTACATAATTATAAGGATTATATGAGGAAATACATATTAAGGGATTTAGCACTATGCCCAGCATACAGCAAGCGCTCAATAAATGTTAAGAGCTATCATTTATATTATTGTTAATATTTTTAATTTATTACTACAACAACTATCTACTCCTTGACAGCTTATCTCAGGTGTTAATATTTTTAGGTACTGCCTTTGGTTATAATTGAAGAATATTATCCAATACCAGTAACAGAGGATATCTATGAGATATAAAATCTTATTTTTGAACTGTGCTGAGCATCTTGGCTCAGCTCAAGAAAACTAAGGCTTGTAATCACTAGCGCATCCTCAGCCAAAGTTACTACCCCTTTTGCAACCACCTAACAAAGTCCTATTTGAACAAACGCTCACTTGCAGTTATCAGTAATGGTGACTCTGTTAATAAAAGAGATAGATATATTTATGACTCATGACTGTTAGACCCTCTGAGCCAATGAATAATGCTCTATCAATTTAAAGGAGACTTCTCTACCCTCTTCTACTCACTCTCAAATATTAAACTGCTGATGTTTGACATTACTAACTTAAAATATTAATATTTATGGTAGGTGACACACAGATGCGTAAAACACTGATTTCTCTGAATTTTCAATTAAATTCTTAGATCAAAGATATAAAAACAAACACAAAATAGTGGCAAAGGCATTCATAAAATAACATGGTCCAGGCCCTGGGTGGGTGGCTCAGTTGGTTGGAGTATCATCCCAATATGCAAAGATCATGGGTTCAATCTCTAATCAGGGTACATACAGGAGGCAACCAATGAATGCATAAATAAGTGGAACAACAAATCGATATTTCTCTGTCTCTGTCTCTTGCTCTCTCCCACTCTCTCTCCCCCCTCTTCCTCTCTTTCTCTTAAAAATACTCAATTAAAAAAATATAACATGGTCCAAAATGACCAGCTTCATTCCTCTTTTTAGAGACCAAAATGTAGAATTTAAAATGAAAGAAAATACCTAAGTAGAACTTGAGGCAATATTCTGGGGGGAAATAAAACAAATGGATACACAGCTTGGAAATGAATGCCAAACTACAGAGGAATAAGCAGTCAGTGTAGGCCATCTTTCCCGCCACCACCACCACTTTAACCATGCAATTCCTGGAGCTCTTCAAATGGAATAAATGAAATAGCACAGCTGCTCATTCTTCTCTTGCTTTTCTACTTGTCTTTCACTTAATGATCTGGAAATTATTAAATATGTCCCCTTTATTTTATGGTCCTAGATTAGAATCATAAAAATCTGGCCCAACATAATACACAAAAAAAGGTACAAAATTAACAACTCAGAGTTTAGAGTATTCCAAATGCAGTTCTCTTTTTTGGTCCACTACAATATATCATCTCTCTCTCAGCGTATTTTCTATCTTGGTCATTGCATTTGCAAGTCTAAGACTGTCTCTGGCATAAGTGTTGTAGACTTTAACTGGAAAATGCCTTTCTTGCTTTAAAATGACTTGTTTGGTATACCATGGGAGAAGCTGTTGCAGATTGTCTCCAATATCAAGTCTCTCCTATTCCTAACCTCCAACTCTTAGCTCAGCACAAGGCCTCCCAGAAGAGACTATATATCCAGCCTCCCTTGTGGCTAGGTATGGCCATGGGACCATGTTCTGGCCAACTGTATGTAAGCTTAAAAGACTATGTGTGACTTCAAAAAAGTATCCTATCATGTGAGAGAGAACATGCTTTTCTTCTTCCTGTTCTCCTTCCTTTGAGTAGAATGAAAATGCAGTGGTTAGAACTCCAACAGGAATTTTGGTTCATGAGATAACACTGAAATGTAAAATAAGATACATAAGTTAGAAGAAAATCTGTGTCCTTGATATTTCAGATCCACTATATTGACCTATAATGACTATCGTTGGGCTTTTATGTGTGAAAAAAAATTATCTCTATTTTAAGCCACAGTTAGTTTGGATTTTCTGTTATAGTCTTGCTAACCCTAAACTAAACTACTAAATTAAACTAAAATAAAATAAAGCGAAAAGACTTTCCCAAGTATCAGTTTTTAGGGTTTTTTGAAGCCTAAAGATTAAAACATATTTTAAAAGTTAATTTTTATTATATTAAAAACATAGAATTGGCCCCTATTTAATCTAGACTAAAAAAGTATTTAATGAGCCAAAGAGTTAATCACATCCAGTAAGAGACTTTGAAAGAATGAAAATTTATCAGCAATTACTGCCATGGGTACCATGTACTTGAGCAGGGGAAGAATTATAAAACTTGCTCATTAGTGGTCTATAGTGATGACAACATTGACGCATATATAGAAACACATTAAGAGGGGTAAACACAATTAGTTCAGTGTAATAAAGTTACAGGAAAGGGAATTGAGGTTATTATTTTCATTAAGAGGGCATCTTCTCTAGTCCCTTTAATTTTAATAACATACCAATCTTTTTTTATAGTTCCATTTTTAACCCGACTTCCTGTGGAAAGCAGCTTATAAAATCACTCCCAATCTTGACTATAACCCCTCAGTAGTTAATCACAAAGTGCTTTACCTCTTCAAAACTAATTTCCTGAAAAGGAGAAAATATTCTATGCTAAAATCTAGAGAATTTTCACTGGTCAACTCCTGAATCACATGCCACCTTTGGCCCTGGAGATTCTGAATATAACAGCATTAACCTGAGAGCTTTCCAAAACAAACATACTGCTTTCTGGGCATTTGTATCTGGGTGATTTCCTTCCCTTGGGCATAATCCAAGCTTTACTGGTTCAGGTGATGTCCTGAATTACTTCATGACACTATTTTAAAATGCATGTTACCACTAATGTATCTCACCAGGATCTATTTTTAAGAAAAAGCCTAAGACATGTATTCTTGGCTTGCGTTACTCATAGCTAAGAAAGAGAAGACCTCGGGAAATTCCCTAACAATCAGATACGATAAATCCACAAAAGATGACTTTTACTTTCTACTACTTCAGTCAATACTTTACAAAAATACTCTCAAGTAATAGGCTTAAAGTAAGTAGTGCTAACATAGATCTTAGTCCATTTCAACTAATACTGGAGTTACTAGGCAACAATTAATAAAAGATTGAAGGCAATGGTGCTCAAACATTGCCATGCATCAGTATCACCTGGAGGGCATGCTAAAACACAAACTGTGGCTCCACTTTTGATTCAGTTAGATCTGAGGTGGGACCAGGAAATCTGTATTTTTAACAAATTCCCAAGAAATGCTGATGCTAGTGGTCCAGGAACTACGGATCTACATAAATAGAAGACTACTGAAGGTAGCATAAGGAGGAAAGAAGAAAATGTATATGGGTCCCAATCTCAGCTTTAGTACTAATTTATATACTTTTGATTAGTAATTCATCTCTTTAAATGTGCTTTCAGAAAATCTACACAATAATTACTTAGTTCATAGTAATAGTGGATCTTATCTTACAAAACTTTCAAGTTCTTTTTTACAGTCCTGGAACACTGAAATCCAAAATAAGTAATTTTTAGGTTACCGAAATGTTCAATGTCTGACTCAAAGTGCTAATAATGAGGCCAAGGTTGGGAGGTTCAACCTGTTAGCTTCACTTTGTTCTGTAGCTATAGTTTCTACCACTAACCCTGGCCAGCTGCCTCAGAAGACATGCCAAGAGTTGGGAAATGTAAGAATGTACGATTGGACACAAATCCATCACCACTACTGGAAAAATATCCCAAAAGCACATTTCCTACTGACGACGTATCTCTAAGTGACCTTGAAGATAAAATGAAAATGTATTGAGACCTTGCCACAAAACGTGGTTTAGGAACCTTAAAACCTCTTCTACCTCTTCAGGCTATAAGCACCATCAAAATTCATGGAAACAGAAATCCAGGATTTGCTGTTTTCAAATGATGATAATTTTAAGGAAGACAAGCCACTGAAAAATGTAAACAGTTGGAGGTTACTATTTTTAGTATATTATGGGTGCCTCACCTTTGATTTTTTTAAGATCTAAGTTAAATGTAAATAAGGGATGCTCATAAATGCTAATGAATTTATAAACTAAAAATCAACTGATAAACCAAAACAATCTGACACAAACCAGTGGTGCTCAGAACAACTACAGCATGAGGATATATAAAGGATGGAAGAAACAAACATTAAATAAAATGCCTGACAAGATAAGTTAGAACAAGAACAAAGTAATCAAGAGTAGAAGAGGGGAAAGTAGGAAGGCTAAGAGAACGTAATATCATGAAGATACACAGGACCAGACACAGAAAACATAATGCAGCCAATAAAATCAGCTCAGGGTGTCAAGAAGCTTCCTGCAAGAATAATTTCAGCTTCAACCTAAAATTGTGACTTTATAGGCCAAACTCAACAGAAGGGGAAAAAACCCTTTTTAATCCTTTGAATGGAAACAACAAATAAGTGATGAACATTTAGACCACTTTTCTTTATTTAAATGTTTACTGAGCACATA